ACCCGGCAGCAGCAGCAGAGCGGGGCCCACACGACAGCTCATAGGGGTGGGCCCACCCTTATCTGGACACGTCAAGCCAACTTGCCGCCAGCTTATCTTATCCTTATCTTATTTTATCTTCATAAGTAAGAGTTATGAGTTTTAGTTTGAGTAGGAAATTAGGAGTTTTAGTTTGAGTTGGATTACCCTAGCCGAATCCAACAAGGAATTCTCTTCTATAATCTCCTATTTAAGGAGCTACGAATTGAAATAAAGCATTCAGTTTTCGCAGTCAAGAAAGAGAGTAAGGAGAGTTCGGGTGATATCTTGGACAAATCACCCATTAGGAGAGTTCGGGTGATCTCTTGGACAAATCACCCACGCGATTGCCGCAATAGGGTCTGCACACAAGGGAAGGTGCAAGGAAAAGCAGGGCTTTCGCACCGTGGACCGACCCGTGATGGGATCCTTCGTGCGGGACCATAACACCCAGCTATACCAAGCTAGCTGGAGGAAATGACACTGAATGTCTCTGGTTTCCTGACAGTGGATGAAGAGGTGATCAGTTGTTTCCCCTTCTCTCAGGCAAAGGATGCAGACATGGGGGNGGGGGGATAGCTAGCCTGCCAAGGTTCTTCTTTTGAAGCAGCTCACAAGTGTTTATCCTATTCAGGTAGGCTTCCCATACAAAATAACACTCTGGAGGGGATGTAATTGCACCAGACCTTCTTGAAAGGAAAATTATAACTCTTCTCTTCTGTGACTAGAACCCTGAAGAAAGATTTGGAAGAGAACTCACCTACGGGGTGGGGTTTCCAGACATGGGAATCTAGAGAGTTAGGAGAGATGTAAACTTTTCTGAGAGAGAGAAGGAGCTCAGTTAGATCACTGATCTCTGAATCCCTTAAAGGTCTTCTAAGGTTCAAGTTAATATTGCTCTCAGTGGGGGAGAAAGGGAGGCACTGGGAAATGGTAGCTTCCTTGTTAAGAGTGAGGTTAAAAAGTCTGGGGTAGGCATCAGCTAAAGTAGAGTTGCCCCACCACAGATCAGTCCAAAATTTTACTCTAGTACCATTATCCACGTTAAACCTTACATGTGGAGAAAAACTGTTATAAGTTGAGATGATACCTTTCCAAGGACTAGATGAAACTACTTGGTTTGAATGAAGATTGCATCCCAACTGTTGGTGTCCAACCCATATTTGCTGATGATGACAGCTACCCATAGAGAGTTTGGTTCTGTAGGGAATCTCCATAGCCATTTTCCAAGAAGGGAGGTATTCTTCTCTTTTAGGTTACCAATTCCCAAACCTCTGGCCTCTTTAGGTTTACAGGTCTGAGTCCAGCTCACTAGATGATTTCCTTTCTCCCCTCCACCTTCCCAGAGGAAGTCTCTTTGTAGCCTCTCAATTTGGATTCTGATTCAAGAGAAGTCTTAATGAGTGTAAGTCTCCCCCCTTTTGATAGGTAACACCATTTCCAAGTGGCTAATTTCTTTTCACACTTTTCCAACACTGGCTCCCAAAAGCTTTGACTTCTGGGGTTCTCACCCAAGGGAAAACCTAAATAAATAATGGGAAGATTTTCCATTCTGCAGTTCAGAACTTCTTTAATGCATTCCAAAAGAGATTCTTCATCTGAATTAATAGTCGCTATACTACTCTTTGTGTAATTGACCCTCAGCCCGGTTACTAGTTCGAAGCAATTCAGAACCCTTTTCACATTGATTACATTCTCCATAGTAATAATATCATCTGCAAATTGGAGGTGGGAGATGTTGAGGGCTTCTCTTCCTACTTCAAAAACCTTTTATCAAATTTAGGTTTTTTGCGTTGTCTACTAATTGATTAAAGACATCCATCACCAGTGTAAAAAGAAAAGGGGAGAGAAGACATCCCTGTCGAAGACCTCTGCTTGCCTTGAAATAGCCTTCTGATTCTCCGTTCAAGAGTATTGAAAACCATGTTGAGCTAATACAGCCTTTCATCCATTGTAACCATTTTGCACCGAAACCCCTCAGTTTCAAAACTTCAAGGAGGCAATCCCAATCCACTTTGTGATACGCCTTTTCAAGATCTAGTTTGACAAGAAGACCGGACCTTCCACTCTTCTTTCTTCGACACATTCGTTTGCTATTAAGATGCTGTCCACGATTTGACTACCTCTCACAAAGGTAAATTGATTAGATGAGACTAGATCTCCTAGGCTTTCTTTGATCCTATTTGCCAACACCTTTGCCTAGTTTATACACACTCCCTACTATGCTTATTGGCCAAAAATCTTTTACTTCCAAGACGCCTCCTTTCTTCAGAATGAGACAGATAAAGGTGGAGTTGTTATCTTTATTTACAACATCCGAAGAGTGGAATTCCTTAAAAACCTCCATGAGATCATTTTTTACTATATCCCAGCAGATCTGGAAGAAAAATATGGGAAAACCATCTGGTTCTGGGGCTCTGTCCCCGTCCATGTCAAAAACTGCTTTCCTTACTTCTTGCTCCTGAAAGTCTTTTTCAAGCCAGCTCCTCTTTTCTTCTGTTAGGGTTGGCCCTTCCCAACTGTGTTAGACTTCTGAAGTTTTCTTTAGAATAGAATTCTTTGAAGGGGTTAAGAAAACTTTCTGTTATCTCATCCGCATCTTCCACTTCCCTTTGATCTACTTTAATTTTTGAGATGTGGTTTTTCCTGCGCCTCCCTGAAGTGTAATTATGGAAGAACTTTGAGTTATTGTCTCCTTCCATCAACCATCTGATCCTAGATCTTTTTCTCCAAAAGATTTCTTCCCATCTGTTATGCAGGAGAGAAGAGTGAAAGAAGAGAGAAAACAGAGAGAAGAGAGAATTAAGAGCTCAAAAGATTGTTGCTGGCGGCGCAGCCTTTTAATATATATACTAGGGCGACAACAACTAGAATAAAAAGGAGCAAAAGTACAATAGTACCCCTGTGGTACTATACATAGGAAAAATAACAGCTGTTAACACTCCCCCTCAAGTTGGGACATAGATGTCAATCATGCCCAACTTGTCACATAAATCATGATGTCTTGAGTGGTGTAGTCCTTTTGTAAAGATGTCTGCAAGTTGATCCTCGGAGCTAACATAGGGAGTACACACTTCCCCTGTGATAACTTTCTCTATGATAAAATGCTTGTCGACTTTGATGTGTTTAGTTCTATCATGTAGCACAGGGTTAGCAGCAATGTTTATGGCTGCTTCGTTATCACAGAATGGGGTCATAGGTCTGTCCACTGGAAAATCCAAATCACTCAACAGATTCTTTATCCACATAATATCAGCCACTCCATGAGCGACTGCTCGATATTCAGCTTCAACACTGGATTTAGCCACCAC